GCTAAGCCAAGCAAGGCACAGGGACCTCGGTTCAATCCCCCAGCACCACATGCCAGCCCGCCTGCCCCCTGGTGGGCTGAGCTGGCCACATACAAATAAATAAATAAATATTTTTTTTTTTAAAAAAAGAAACAATCTTGGTATGAAGTTCAGATTGGCCTCAAACTCATAGCAATTCTCCTGCCTCAGTTGGCCAAGTGCTAGGATTATAGGCACATGCACAGCCTTGGTTACACTTTGACAATGTACTTATGTTAACCTTACTTTTTAGAAACCTAGTTATAAAATATTTTTGATCTAATATTTATTGATTGTAGAATGGGAAAGATGATTAGATTTAGGCCATAACCCGAGTTCTTTCAGAAAATAGAGAGGGCCAGTGAGATAGCTGAGGGCTGGCAAGATAGCTCATTGGATTCAGTGCCTGCTTAGGAAAGCACAGGGGCTGTGGTTCAATCCTGGCACCACCTGCGCTGGCCCTGCCCCTGGAAGGGGAAGGCTGAGCTGCAACTGAGCCCATGCGTGGTGGTGCGCGGCTATAATCTCAGCACTGGGGAGGCTGAAAACAGCAGGATCACTACAAGTTTGAGCTGTGTAGTGACTGCACACACACACAAAAAAGAAAGTAGGAAAGAAGTAATAGTGTGCCTAAAACAAAAAAAAAAAAAATTTTGGAGACAGGTTCTCATTGAGGGCCTTAAGTTAAACCCAAGGACAATAAAGCCAACCTTATTTCTTCTTTCATCTGGTCACGGGTGTAAAAAGGGCTGGGATATTAAGGAATAATCACATTTGAAGCCTCACAGATTGTAATGTCAATTCTGTAAGTGTAGGCACCCACTGTCCTCTGCTGATAGCACTGGAATCCTCTGCTCACCACTGCATAGGCTCCTGCTGGAGCAAAGGTAAGAAAATAGGAGCAGAGTAAGTCAATTTTGGGGTGGGAGCCACACACTCAGATAAAGGGAAAACACTGGCTGTACAAGCTGTCAGAACACCTGAGTTCTCAAGTGTCAAATATAAGCCTGTTTCTTCCTTTGTAAATGGGAATGGCATAAGTTCCTACTGAGAGCTGCTTGGAAATGAAATGGAATGAATGTAGAGACAAATTATGAATAGAATATTACATTAGCGAACCCCACTTGTGCAGGTTAATCTTAATTGTCCACTTAACTGGATTAAGACATTCCTGGAGCTACATCTAGATCACAGAGCCTTACGTTCATGTCAGTGGATGAATTCATTGATGTTCACAGTTGAATGTGCTGTCAGGAAGTGGGGCCCAGCTGGAGGAGCAGGTCACTGGGGATGTGCCTTTGAACGGTGCATCTCTGGATGGCTTACCTCCTGCGCTCTACTCCCCACTGCCAGGAAGTAAGCAGCTTCACTGTTACCTGACTTTAAACCATGACTCTGCTTTGCAGCCATCCAACCATGAACTGAAACCCATGAAATCATGAGCTAAATAAAACATTTCCTTTTTTAAGTCATGTATTTCAGGCATTGTTTTCCCAGCAATAGGAAAGCTGGCCAGTAACAAGAACTACAGGAATTTTTGTCCTCAGGGAGTTCCTGTTTGGGAGACCTCAAGCAAATCCTGCAGAAGCATTCCCCCACATCCTTCACAATAAGTCTCATAGGGAAAAAAATGTTTTAAGCAATCTGGAATGACAGTCCATAGATACATGACTTAGTGAATGGTTTACTGATGACATTTCTTAGAAACCAAGTTATAAAATAATGAACCCTATTCAATATGCTGTGGAGGCTGAAGCAAGAGATCATCAGGTAGAGGCCAGTCTGGGTGAGTTCAGGGTGGAATAAAAAAAAAAAAAAGAGGCTCTTCAAAATTAATTTTCTTAAAAAGAAACAGTGCCTCTTATATGTATGGAAATTTACCTCATGTTTTGGGGATTATGAAGTAACTGAAATCCTTTCCACCATCAATGATAATTCTAAGTGACCAAAATAAATTCTTGGGGAAGTAACTGAAGTGGACATGATTTGATCCAAAGTCAGAGGTAGGAAGAGTGACAATGATAGGGCTGGGAATGTGAGCATGTATGAGCCCTTGGTCACATTCCCAGCCCTGGGAACATTCTACAAGTAATAACCTCATCTTTTGGTGGGCTATTTATTCTTCCTTCAGTAAAATACCATATAAAATATATGTTGAGACTCAAGTCAGACCAATCTTACCATGTGTGGCATGCCCAAGGCAATAAAATCAATCCAAAGTGGATGGAAAACTTTAAATGCCAAAAAAATGAAGCTTCTGGACACGTAAGCCAAAAACAGAGCAAACAAAATACAGGTCACACAAAAGCATATTAAAGTCATGGACCTTTATTTCTATGGACACTTTGGTGTCGGATAAGGTGTGTGCTCTGTCTAAAGCTTCTACCACATTCCAGACATTTATATGGTTTTTCTCCAGTGTGAGTTCTTCGGTGTTTAATGAGGGTTGCACTCTGACTGAAGCTTTTCCCACATAAAGAACATCCATAAGGCTTCTCCCCAGTGTGGATTCTCTGGTGCTTAAAGAGGTCTGAACTCTGTTTGAAGCTCTTCTCACACTCCTCACATTTATAGCGTCGCTCCCCATTATGGAGTCTCTGATGCCGAAAATGGCTGGAATTATGGCAGGTCTCCTCACATTTCACACACTTACAGTATTTTTCTCCAGCATGTGTTCTCTGATGCCGATTTAGATGTGAGCTCTGTCTGAAGCATTCCCCACACTGCACGCATACATATGGCTTCTCACCCGTGTGTGTCCTCTGATGTTTAATGAGGGCAGCACTCTGACTGAAGCTTTTCCCACATTCTTGGCATTCATAGGGTTTCTCACCTGTGTGGACTCTCTCATGTTTAAAGAGATCTGAACGCTGCTTGAAACTCTTCTCACAGATATCACATTTATAAGGTCTTTCTTTGTACAACTGCCTCTGGGTCTCAAAAAGGCCAGAGCAAGGGACATTATCTCCAATATCAACAGAGTTGTGAGGTTTTACTATGTGATAGTTCATTTTATCTAAACTTTGCTTGTCCTTCTTCCCATGTTCTTTACTATCAGTGGGCCTTGATACAGTCTGGTTGTGCTGACCAGCGATAAACCTGGAACTTCTGACCCTGCTCGCAAAATCATTACTTTTAGAGACTCCTTCTATGAAACCATTTATATTGAAATCTGAGACACTGTTGAGTCCTTGCTCTTCAGCAGAATTTTCGAGTTTCAGTGAAGTGAAATTTGTTGGCTGCTTTTCTACTCTGTCCTCATAGATAATGTCACTTTCAGAAAACAGAGGCCCCTTTTCTTGGGACATTTTCTGTAGCCATGGCTGGGGCTTTACCTCTTCGAAAATTTGCTGCTTTAGAATCAATTCCTTGTTCTCAGCTCTAGTTTCCAAATCTGAAACATAAAAATACAAGTTGTTGCCTGCATGATAGGAAAATAAACAAGTGCTAACAAGAGTTCCCAAGCTCCAGGGGCCAGGGAGATGGCTCAGTAGGAAAAGCGCTTGACTGGCAAATGCAAGGATCTGAGTTCAATCCCCGGTTCCGCAAAAAAAAAAAAAAAAAAAAAAAAAAATCACCTTAGGGCTGGTGAGATGGCTCAGTGGTCTAAAGCACCTACTTAGAACAAGCTTAGTGAAGCCCAGGGACCACGGTTCAATCCCCCAGCACCACATGCCAGCCAGCCCGCCCCCTAGTGGGCTGAGCTGGCCACACACACACACACACACACACACACAAATAAATAAACTTTTAAAAAAAGAAAAAAGAAGAAAAAAAAAGAGTTCCCAAGCTCCCTTTAAATATTCTCCTTAAATGAATAATAAATTCCTTAAGGGAGATTATTTTTAATTAATCTATCAGATGTGCTCATACTTAGCAGTGCAAACACCCATATCTTTCATTTTATTCTTGTGCTAACAACCACCAACCTACCTCTTCCTTGGCTCTAGTCTACTGCTGTGGTCAGTCACTATATAGGGCGAGGTACCTTAGGAAGGGCTGTCAAGAAAGGTTGTATAGCTTTATCCCATGAATGAAGGATGGAGTAACAAGAGGAATTCTATTCATGTGAGGAGATAAACTATTGAAAGAATAAGAAAGATGGGCATAATGATACATGCCTGTAACCTCAGCAATTGGGAAGCTGAGGCAGAAGGCTAGCCAAGAGTGAGACCAGGCTCGGGTACATCAGGAGCTGGAGGACAGTCTGAACTACATATTTTGAGAGCTTGTCTAAATATCCAAACCAAACCAAAACAATAAGAAAAGGCTCATGAAAGCATAAACAATAGTTGAAATATTTCAGCAGACAGGTTGAGAAAAGTTCTCAGAAAGCAAGACCAAAAAAAAAAAAAGAGGAAATGGGGATTAGACCATGAGTTCCAACAGCCAACTAAAATAACTTCCAACAGAAAAGGAAAAACTAAGATAAAAGTAGTTGAGTTAGATAAAAGTAAAAATAGTAAAATGAAACACTTCTCACAATTCAAAGATATGAACATCTGTATTGTAAGAGCCCAACTACTCAGAACAGTCAATTAAAAAAGCCCACACTGAGCCACCCTCAGTGTGAAACTTCATTTTACCAACAGTAAAGATAAGATCCCAAAAGCCTGCACACAGAGCCGACAGCTCACATACTGTCCTGTGGGCTTTTATGTGATAGTAGGCTCAGGAAAAACAAAGTTTCCCAGACTCACAAGTTCTCAAGATGGGAGGCACGTCATGCTCTGTGAGACCACGTAAGAAAGCTCCGGAGGCAGGAAGCAGAAAAAGCAGAAGTGAGAGGAGAGCCTTAGCCTGTGACACTGAGAATTAAGCCAATGGCTTTTGCACTGAGTGAGTTACATCCCTAGCAGTTTTTTAATTACTTATTTTAGAATGGGGTCTCACTGAGTCTCTAAACTGCTCAGTGTGGACTAGATCTACATGTGTAATCCCCCTGCCTCCATCTTCCACAGTGCCAATATGACAGGTGTACATGCCACGCCGAGCGACCCATGACATTTACTGAACAAGCTAAGACAGGCACAGGGTGGGGGAGGGAGGTCGAACAGGCAATGACTAGTGAATAATTCAACAGGCCTCTTAAGTCACTGGGGTGGTCGGTCTTCTGTTGTTGATGCCTGCCTCATGGGAATACTGCCTCCAAGGTTGCTTGGGCCAAATGGAGGAGGATGATCCAGTATTAATTTACATAGCAACTAATGAGCTTGCTTATAGGTGAGTTCTTTATAGTTTCTAAGAAATAGCTAATCCTGAGAAGCCTTGTCTCTCCCCAGCCAGAGAAGAAACTTTTAAAATGTCAAAAATATTTTAGGATACAGAAAATGCAAAACACAAAGAGCATACACACCAAGGATAATATACCTTGGGCACAAGGGCATCGGGATTGGGGCTGGTGAGATGGCTCAGTGGTCTAAAGCACCTACTTAGAACAAGCTTAGCAAAGCACAGGGACCGCGGTTCAATCCCCCAGCACCACATGCCA